GAATCTCGGAAATGGTAGGAGATACGAAGTCGTTCAAATAGGGAAAAAGTTGCGCATTTGGAGACTCATATCAAGAGACTCCGAAAATTTCGAATTTTTTTTTAGTTTTTGAGTTATATCGAAAAAAGTGAATTTTTGGAAAATCTATTTTATTTTTTTCTCCGTTATTATTAGAGATACAGCAAAACTGAGAATATTTTTTCATAGCAACTTTTGATGAGGTTCAACGTGGTGATACCAATTTTTTCATATTTGTGGAACCATCATCACCTTTTGTTTTTTGAATGCGGTCCAGATAATTTTTTCACATATTCTGAAAGGTTTTCTTATTCTGAATTCAACCATGTATTATACAAGGTGTTTTATGTGTGTTTCGACCTATTTTTAGCCATCATCAATATTTTGAAGGAAAATTAGTCAACACACTGATACTTCATCAAATGGTTTCAATCAACAACCCATTTCATTTTGCGGAAACAAAAATTTCATCCATACAAATTCAGAATATATGTCAAGCGCTAAAACCAGGCGATGGCGAAAGGCGCAGGACATTCTGTGAGTGGTATACCAGGAAATGTCAAAATTTTGCAGATTTCCTTCGAACAATCATCTGGACTGATGAAAGCATGGTCACTAATCGTGGTATCTTCGACAGAAAAAATACACATTATTGTTCACGAGGAAATGAACATTTATACATCACAGCGCGACACCAACACCGTTTCGACTTTGATATGTGGGTTGCAATATTTGGTACACGAATTATTAGTCCTTCTATTTACCATGAAACACAGACTTCCGAACGTTATAGAAATTTGCTTGAGAATCATCTTGAGGAAGCTCTGGATGATTTACCGATTGCGGAAGTTCAGAACTGTTGGTTTCAACAAGATGGCGCTCCGGTACATAATTCCAGAGAGGTCCGTGCGTTTTTATCCAGAAAAATGGATTGGTAGGTACTCATTCTACAGTCTCTTCGCCGGCGCGGTCGCCTGATTTGACACAGCTGGATTTTTTCTTAGGGGATATATCAAACTTTGTATACGCAAATAACTTTGATGATGATGAAGAACTAAGGGACAGTGTCTTCGAACCATTCAATAGAATAACCCCAGAAATGCTTAGCAATGTCTTAGAAGAAACTGTGAGAAGAGGATATCTTCGTTCAGAAAATAATGGTTATTATTTTGAACATTTGTTATGAATGTCTCTGTTGGTATTGTCAAAGTTAAGTTGTTAGAGTAATTCATTCGTGTAAGAATTCATCAACAATTTTAAGCACTGCATTGATCGAATGATGTAGTGAAATATTCACGTTTCAGTATTGAATAACTAATCCAACAAGTTTGACACTAAATGATCAGAAATAAGTGGAACTGATGGCTTTTTTCTTTTGGAAGTTCGAAGAAACATTGATGATAGATAGAAATAGGTCGAAACACATTCGAATCACCTTGTATAATACATGGTTGAATTCGGAATGAAAAAACTTTCCAGAATCTGTGAAAAAATTATCAGGACCGTATTCGAAAAACAAAAGTTGATGATGGTTCTACGGATACGAAACGTTGCATAAAAAAATTGTATCACCACGTTGAACGTCATCAAAAGTTGCTATGGAAAAGTATTTTCAGTTTTCTGTATCTCTAATAATAACGGAGAAAAAAAATTAAATAGATATTGCTCTTGATATGAGCCTCCGAATGCGCAACTTTTTCCCCATTTAAACGACTTCGTATCTCCTACCGTTTCCGAGATCCCCATGCTGTTCAACCTTATCTTGGACAGGCTGTATAACCTCTACTACTGATAGCAACAAGAATTTGCGAATAAAAACGATTTATCACTAATAAATATTCAAATTGTGTGTCAACCAGCGCATAGTTTGACAGGATTGTCTAGTTGAAATACAGGAAGGTCACTTGATAATTCATCAAGGTTGGTAAAGCTGTTAATTATTTTTAGTAGAAGGTTGCCTCGATAAGAAAAAATAGGTGAAGTAGTGAATTGTAACGCAATCATATAGAGAAGTTCAAGTGGGGTTCATATTTCCTGATCGATGCAATCTTACTATGCAAATAAAACTGATAATGCACTTCAGGAATGCTAGCAGTACCTTTTCTTCTGTACATTTTTCTACATTCCGTTCTTTTCACCATTTCATAAACTCAGATAACTGTTTTTTTATATTGTTCTCCACATTTTCTTGGTAATAATTGGCCTTCAGCTTCTTGAGCTGCCTTTTCGATTTGTTCCATCGCGATCAACGTCTTTCAATCGGTGTAGCGTGTTTGACTAATATTTATTCATTTATGTTTTACTTGATTACTTGTCATAACACACCAAGATTTTTAGTTGCCGATGACAATCATGATCTGGATCACCATAGTTACTGAGGTCGATGATATGGTATCAATCATCGACTCCTCGATAATGTTTTAGAAATAGAGTAACTACCGTTCAGTAGCTTTTTTTTTCTTTCGTTATTTTTACTTAAACGTTTGACCTATCCTGATGTGCATGAAATAGTATAAGCAGCTCGAGACTAAAGTGTTTTTAAATTCCTCGACAAATTATAGCTATAAACTTTTTCACTACACTGTTTTACCACTAACCAAACCGATTTTTTAACGCCTCGGCACTTGTTTCGCTAACTATGTTAGCATCTTCAGGAGAAGATTAAAACTAAATATTCTATTCTCGTGTGCTGCTTATATACTAGGTATATGTTCACCCAACTGTGAAAAATACTAACCGTCAAGTTAATGTTTGTCATGGTTGAGTTCACATGTGAATCTTAATTTTTATTTTACTAAACTATATAGAGGGCTATATGGAATAGGTCCATTATCCTTATTCATTACTCTATTACTATTCTTAAATATCTCTAAGCAGACATGATTTCTTTAGAAAAGAAACTGTTTTCAGCACAAAATGGCAAGTTTAAATTTTCTAGTACACAGATTGATTTCATTTCCTCTGAGCAGAGAAAGATTCAATGCTGAAAGAAGTGTTGTTTATAAAGTGGCTGGCGTCAATGGGTATGATATCAAATAGTAGATAAATTAATACGTAGACATAAATTTAAGTTAACACTCCGATATTCTACGACTTTTCAAGTGGATAAAAAGAAATCTAGAAGAATCCCAATCCCGTTCATTCCCAAGTATACGAAGGGACTTGATAAGGTTTTCAAAGACTTAGGTTTTGAAAGCGTTTATCAGTCTGGCTCAAAATTAGGCAATTTATTAGGCAATCCGAAAGATAAAGTGGACACACTTGAGAAGTCGGGAATATACGAAATAAGTTGTAATGATTGTGATAAAACATATATAGGCCAAACCAGGCGACCCATAAAAACAAGGTTCAAACATCACATAGCCCATTCAAAATATGGCAGGTTAGATAAATCTTGTGTAGCCGAACATATGTTCAATCACAATCATAACACACATATTACTAACCTCAAATTAGTTAAGCAAGTTAATAACAATAGAAAACTAGACGCATATGAAAGCTTAAAGATATTTAAGAATAGTAATAGAGTAATGAATAAGGATAATGGACCTATTCCTTTTTTAGAACAATATAGTTCAGTAAAATAAAAATTGAGATTAACATGTGAACTCAACCATGACAAACATTAACTTGACGGTTAGTATTTTTCACAGTTGGGTGAACATATACCCAGTATATAAGCAGCACACTAGAATAGGATATTTAGTTTCATAGTTAGCGCAACACGTGTCGAGGCGTTGAAGAATCGGTTTGGTTAGTGGTAAAACAGTGTAGTGTATTATCGTGCCAAAGGTTCCAGTCTTCGATATACAGGGTGTTCCGAAACTATTGTGCCAAAATGTAAGGGTGGGTAGATCTCGCCAAAACAAACGTTTTTTACTTATCAACCCATAGGCGCATGCACCTTATTTCGGTACCAATAAGTGTCACAAGAAAAACATATGTGCATACTCAAATAATATCGATATTGAGTGCCCAGCTCTACCGATTTTGACGTATGTACATACATAAATAAATAATATCGATATTGAGTGCTCAGCTCTACCGATTTTGACGATCGAGACCAATCGCTGCGCTCCCGACACTCGTATTGCGTAGACTTCTCATTTATTATTGCGTCGTGGCAATGTGTGAAACCTAACTCAATCTAAATTGTAGTGTTTTTTTTTATAAACTCTCCCATATATTGCTTGTGATTTCATGTCATTTACTAACACGGTTTCCGGTACAAACACGTTTCCCCGTGTCCGAGGTTGGATACCACTGCGCGGACCTTAATGCGCTATTATCACTGAACGCATGCGCATGCGCCTATGGGTTAATAAGTGAAAAACGTTTGTTTTGGCGAGATCTACCAACCCTTGAATTTTGGCACAATAGTTTCGGAACACCCTGTATAAACTTTTTGACTTGGGATTTGAAATATCACTTCATTCCTTAGGTGTATAATGTACTATTTCAGAGACTTTTGCAATTCTTCCATTCATGCTTCGCCTAAAATTCAACACACCATTCAAAAAAAAATTCAAATATTCTCAGAATAACGGTCGCTGATATGGAAAAATTAGAAGGAAACAAAATGATTCTACAAGAACTATCAATTTATGAATAAATACAAGAAGCTCAAAGTCAATTTATTCTTGTTTTTTGAATTAATCTGCGGTGTAGAAACCTCCTGAGATAGTGTCTCAAGACTATTTGAAATGCCCTATGATGTGAAACCTACAGCGTATAACTCGTATTCCGAATTTGAATTGGATATCCTATGGAAACTGCAGAAGCTATGAGAGAGAAACTGAAGAAATCTTGTGATTCCACACTCTGTAACTCGAAAAAGCTATGGGAAAAGGTTTACAAGAACTTTCATCAATTTCTTGAGATGCTCTACTATCACCACATATTATAAAACCTGTATGATTCATAATAGACAGAAAACGAGTATAGTAATTCTCGACCCAACAAGTAATAATTTCTAGCTACGCTTATTGCCCCGTGAGTAATATATTCCTTGGGGAGAATATGAGGGCGAAGGGTCCAAGGTTCAAGGAATTCTCCGGAATGGGGTGCCGGGGCAGGCAGATGTTGCCGCCTAATTGAGCAACTAGTTTCGAAGTCAGTTTATTGGGAGCAATACAGCCTGGAATCAAGGGCTTTAGTACGTCTGCGGCGTTGGTTTGTTACCTTCCTGGGCTCAATTTGATGGCTTTTCTCGCCGTTCGTTTTTATGGATTCAATTAGGCGGATCGGTATGGAATACCAAGGGGTGGAAATTCGCATTGGCCAGATTTTCATTCGTAGTTCATTCACTGAATGGGTTGTAGAGGGCATGAAGGAGGACAGTTTTTCTGAGACGAAGGATATGTTCGGAGTGGATAGGAAAAAATTCCAAGAGTCTCCAAACTTACAAGGTGACGAGCCAAGTGCCAAGGTTCCTTTACTTGAATTATCGTTCATATCTCACGGCTCGTCACAGCAACAAATTAGATCCATTCAAAATTATAGCTGACTATTCCACTCTTGATCTCGAGAACCAATCAGAATCGACCATTTTCACGGTTTCTTCTGTATTCTAGCGATATTTTTTGTTTATTAAATTTTATCAGACTTGCTCTACCAATACAGAAGCCGAATTGACCCACACGTGACCAACAAACCTCGTTTATCAGCGATAAAATTTTGACATCGTGTCTGGTCAAGATTGCTTTGGATTCAAATCTGACACAATAACCTAAGTACCTACTTCATTTTATTTACTTATAATTCGTGTTAGTAAGACAATTTGTACGAAAGGCGAGACAATTTCATTTTGGCATTTCTGGCTGGACGTTTCATGTGTAATTTAATAAGTTTGCATATTTGTTGAAGGTCTGACACGTCATGTCTGACACAACAATACAACAATTTAAATTCCTTTTTAAAGTTATCTTCTTCAATCACTCAAGTTATTGTGACTAATATAATTACCAGATGATGTGGCGCAGCTGATGGGGTTGTTGCGCGTTGATACGAAGGTCGGTGGTTCGAGACCCTCGGCGACGATATCTTTTCTTTCAATTCTTTCATGTAACATAAATTCAATTTTTTTTGTTTGAATTGGAAAGCAAATGTATACACTCTTTTGAGAGCAACCATCTCCAAGATAATAAACAAAATACTGTTTATCAACATTGTACATTCCACTTTGTGAATAACTATAAGTAGGTAGTTAATTTCTAAAAAATTGAATTCTGTATTTCATTACTATCATTATGTTCTTCTTCGCAGTTTTGAGTTGGAATATACTTAAATTATGTTTCCTATTTCTTATATATATTTTCTCATTCAATCATGAAATAGTCATACGAATACAACTCGTGATACTATTTTTCCTGGAAATATTCGTCGATTGACATACTCCAGCTTGCTGCTCTAATTTCGCTCATGACATTGATCCTAAACTACTCGCCTACGGCTCGAAGTTTTGATAACAATGTCATTCACGAAATTACTAGGCAACAAGATGTCGTAACAACCACCGAATATTTCCGGCAAAATATTATCACTTGTGGTATTATATATGATGAAATTTTCTACGAAATTGGATGAATAGATATTTTCACTTTCTTTTATTGTTTTCGAGATATTCGCTACCTAGCGAATCATGACAATTTTTTGAAATCGCTTTTTTATCTAGCGTATCTCGACGGCTCAATTTTCAATTTTTCACCAAAGTCTTCGACGTTGAAGTCGCAAAGGACTCGATTACCTTCGAAATGTTATGTCACATACAATTTTTTGAAATCGCTTTTTTATCTAACGTATTTTGACGGCTCAATTTTCAATTTTTCACCAAAGTCTTCGACGTTGAAGTCGCAAAGGCCTCGATTACCTTCGAAATGTTATGTCACATACAGTGTGTGCGTTTTCAACCCGCAACACCCTCCTAATTTGGAACCAGTCGACCGATTTTCAGAATCGAAAATTCCATCATGTGAACGAATCTGAAACATACAGATTTTTGAAGCATATTTTTGTTTATTGAAGGGGTAAACATTTCACAAACTACCATTAGGCCATTCTTTTCGAAACGGTGACTAGCTTACTCGATTCAGGCATAGCTGGAATACCTCCATATCTAATTTGGAGTTCTACAGGAAGATGTTTCCAGATCAAACAAAAGTCAATACAACTAAAGTTGAGGTTACCATTTTGAAAGCTCAGGTGAACTTCAAAAATTGTCACATTTTTGAGCCGCCCATTTGAACCGCCAATGTTTTTTTTCCATTCCGTCGGAGTGGTTACAATTTTTATGGACATTATTTTGGTCTAATCCCCCATTTGATAGTGTGGGAGACCCACTAAACACTCCACCCTGTTTGTAGGCTCGTCTGACTGATGTCTCCGACGACACTTAGGCCTAGTGGCCCATTGTATCTTACCAATATGCCGTTATCAATTTTACCATATACTGCCCATGGTGCTCATAAAGGGCCATTTCAATATGAAAGAGCCTTTTTCTTCAGGTTCCTGAAGATTATACTCTTCCGATTCCTGTTCTCGTCTACGAAGAAGGCCAAAAGTTCTCCTTCTCCTACGAGTGACGGGGGAAGGGGCTGGTACAGCTCTGTGGTGCCCCCTGCCCAGGGCTAAGGCTGTTTACTCTGAGATGCACTCTGCTTCCACCGTCACGTGTTCCCATAGCTCGGATTAGGTTTCCAAAGCCTTGTTGGCCAGTCCTCGGCCACCTCGAGAGATATTACCAAATCGCCATATCCTCACCACAGATGTCTGCGCGGAATCTGAACGTCCTCAGAACGTACCTAATACGTCTACGGCCCTGATCTTGACGTATGAAACGTCTTGGCCGGACGTACTCTGAACGTTTTGGGGACGTACTGCTGCTATATGGGTATTAGCAAATCGCCCATTCTCAGCACATATATCCACAATTGATTGTCCCATCTGGCTTCATCTGTCGTCTGTCAAGCGGCCGCGGTCTATCCTGCCCACACCACTAGAAAGTGAGGTTGGGCTTGGAGGGAAAGAGGAAAATAGAAGTTGGCCAAGGAAGGCCGATAGGATAGATTTGAAAATGAAGAGAGAAGGGGATAATATCAACTAAGTTGAAGTATGGTGAATAACCGGCTAGGGTACCACGGGTTCACCAGTACCGTATACTCACAAGTTGTGAGCCCCTGAGGGTCAGGTTATTTAAACCTTTGAACAAGTAAACACTCACTATACCTTCAGAATATTCACAAATTATGGCTCTCAAATGAATAAATTCTGCACAAAACATAGGTTATTATGAGTAGAGAATGCTCACAAAAGCTGTTTTCTGTGCGATTAACGGTTCCAGAGATATTCGCAAAAAACGAGATTTTTTTTCAATTTCATCACCCTCTATCTCGAAAATGATTCATTTTAGAGGGTAAGTTGATAGGAATTATTTTTCATATTTTTGGACGAGCTATGACATCCTGGAGTCCTGCTCATATATTATGAAACACTCTGTATAGCAACGTGACCACATTCTTATGAATTACCTTATTTAACACTTCGCGGGCATTTCGAACACAAAGTTCTATGCAATTATTTCGCAACTCGTTATATGAATTCCTATTCTGTGGGAACTTATATTTCTCAAAGTCGAACACGAATTGTCTGATTGGAAATAATGAAATCTCTAGAAAAACTCACTCCGGGGTAGCAATAAAGAAAAATGCGCCTTTTCCTTAATTTCTTTCCGGTTTGGCTTATTCTTTACTCACAATGAATAAGAGAGACCGATCACGAAAGAACATTCTTCAAAGCCGTTATTGTAATTGGTCTGGCCGGGCCTTTTTTCATTCCCTTTGTTCTGGTTATAATGCAATTTGATGCGGGATATTATATTCTTTTGGAAATCTACGACGCCAATTTCAGGAAATTTACCGCGCAATTTCAAGAATCTTACCCGAAGCGGTTATTAATCGATATTTATTGGGAACGCAGGGACAAAAGATACCATATCATAAATACCTCAGCCAAATGTATCAATTGAATTTTCATTAGCAGATACATGGAATCCTGAGATTTAATTGGCAATTAAAAATGTTCTCAATATATTAGAGGGTACTTGTTTCAGATTGTAATAAGAAAAATTCAATAGACGATATAGAACTCATGAAAATAATAACGAAATTTCATGAAAACTTGTATGTTTTGTTGTCTCCTTAAGGAGACACAAATTGTTTAAAAAAACTGTTTTCATCAAGAGCTCAAAGAAAAACTCCTTAAATTCTCTTAGTTAAACAGCAGATTTTTTTCAATATGAAAATGCATCTCTTCTTCCCATGCTTTCGAAATTCTTGGAAATGGTGATAAAAAAACAAATTTCTGACTATGTATTTACAAAAAATATCATTCCTGTTTCACAATCGGGGTTTCGGCAACATCACAGTACAACTTCTGCTTTAGCCTGTATCACGGACGATATACTGATCAGTACTGATAAGAACGAAGTGACATGTTCAGTTTTATTAGATTACAGCAAAGCTTTTGACACTCTGTACCCCCTTGTACTGGAACTAAAACTCAGATGCTTTGGGTTTGGACCTAGGTCTGTCAAATTAATTACCAATTATTTGAGAAATCAATCGCAGTATGTTGTAGTTGATAACCAGACTTCCGAAGTGAAACCGCGAACTCTTGGTGTACCACAGGGTTCAATTCTTGGTCCACTATCGTTTTCTATTTATATTTCAGACCTTCACCTTGCTATGTTTCATCCGCACACAACTTAAAACTGAATGAAAGCAAATCAAAGCTCTTGGTATTTGGTCCCAAACACAAACGATTAGTCTTCGAGCAACTAAATAATATACAAATAGCAGGTGATGCATTGCCAGTTGTAGAGGAATGCAAAAATTTAGGGTTATGGCTAGACAGCGATATAAGATAAACAAAACATGTCAATCAACTCAGTAAAATATCTTATAATACTCTGAGAAGTTAATACCCGCAAAGAAATATTCTTAGCAATGAGCTGAAATTACATTTATGTGAATCACTGATTATGTCTAAACTCTCATACTGCGACTGCATTTAACATTTATGACCCCGCTCTTCTAATTACAGATCAAAAGCGTTTACAAAGAATACAAAACTCATGTATGA